TAACACTGTGTTTTAAGGTAGACCAAAAGGAGAGGAAAAAATGACTCTCAGATCATTCACTTATGGGGTAGATTAAAAATGACCAGAAAGTTCTTGTGACTCCTCCCACCAAGAGTGGGGAGGGCAGCCTGGAGCTGAGGCCAGTGCTTCAAAGGATCCCAGGACTCTTTCCTTCTAGAAAATACTTCTAGAAGCACTGCCCAGGGACCGTTCCCAGCCCCTTAGAAACTTGTAAGAGAGTTAGTTGTGAGGTAGCATTATGAGATCCAGGAGGCTGGCACAGCCAGTGCAGGATCCCCTCCCTGCCTACCCTAGCTGGCACAAGTTTTGGAGGGTTGATGGCATGGATTTGGGAGGATTGACTGATTCTGCTGTGGGTGGGGTACGGTATGTTTTGGGAGAGAAAGGTGCAGCTCCTGCATCCCCTCCCTTGAAATACATAAAAATCAAAAACAACATATACTAAGCACGCTTTGGTTCTCACACTCCGTTTTCGGCCTGCACCACCTAGAGTTGTCTGCTTTTCTACTTTTGTTATTTTAGGACTATTTTCCACTTGTATGAGGAAAATTTCCAATCATGCCTATTAGGCAGGAACAGAGGCAGCTGGTTCTTCAAGAGGTCACAACTTCAGGGGCTTCTGTGCCCAGGGAGGTGGACAGTCCAGTGGTCAGACTCTACCCTAGATACATGCAGGTGTGAGTGGGCAGACCTGCAGCAAAGGTCCTCACCAATCCAGTCCCGATCCAGCAGAGCTGAGGACAGTGTGTAGAACTGTGTCCAATACCTTTATTTTACATATGGGGAAACTGAGGCTCATTCTCTTCATTACACAGAGCATGGCACAGAGCAGCATTCTCAAGGCTGGCTGCAGGTCACAATCACCCGGGGAGCTTGTAAATTGCACTAAGCGATGTGGCCCAACCGAAACCAGAGAAATAAGCATTTCTGGGGTTGAGGCCAGGTCACTGTATTTTTTAAAAGGCTCTGAAGGTCGTCAGTTGTGGATTCAAGTCAGGGTTCATCATTTAGCAGCCATGCTGCTCAGGATGGGTCCGTTGTCACACAGAGCCGAGTGTCCTGCAGTGCAGAGATTGTACTCTTGCTCCCTAGGGCTGCTGGGGGGATGAGAGCTGGTGCTCAGTGCCCCACAACAACCAATGATATCTGTCCCTTGGCCTTGGCCTCGTGAAGGGACAGGAGGGGCTTCACTGAATGCTAATGCCAAATTAATAATGAATGACAGTATTGGGCAAAGGGCTCTGGACTACGTATACACTGGCCCATACAACATTTCATTGCCTGTGAGTCTTCCACTTGCCCCACTGTCAAAGGCAAATTTACAAGAGGGTTCATTCATTAAAGACCACCTTTTGGCCTGGAAGCCAGGTCACTCCAGTACCAATGAATGCACCCAGCACCTCGGTTTCTAATGTCATTCTCCAACCAAAGGAGACAAGGCCAGTTCTGGGGTGGGGCAGGAAATAAGGTGAGGTTGTAGCATGTTGTAGTGCCACAAAGTAAGGAAGTATGCCAACCAGAAAAGATACACATGTGTAACACACACAGACACACACACTCACACACAAAACAGGATGCTTCCAAGGGACACAGGAGCCAACTGGGACACTGGCAATGGCCAAAGTTGGAGTGACTCGTGCAATGAAATAAGGAAGTAAATAATAATACACAATGAGATTGGAGTGCAATTCAAAATAGAAAATAAGATTCCAGGATCCCATGTTGTCATAAGAAGATGATTAAATCAATACATGGAGGAGAAGAGACAGATCTCTCGTAGAGAATAATTCCAAATACATTATGCATGTAGAAGACAACTGTCTTCTCTCTCGGGTGTGCTAAGCACAGTAACTTCCTTGCAAAGAGGAAAGTATGAAAGGGAGAGGGGAAGAGTAACTTTGAAGTCAAAAACCAAACGCTATCTCACTATGTGATCAAGGTCACCAGGCCTGCAAAGCCGCTTTATATCAGGTAACCTCAACACTTTACCTCTGCACGTTCCTTAACCCAGTCTAACCATTAGACAGATCCCCAGATGTGCTCAACCAGTGCTTCTCAAAACCCTCAAGGTCACCGAAAACAAAGGAAGTCTGAGAGACTGTCAGAATAAGAGGAGCCCAAGGGGATAAGATGATTACATGTGGTATGGTCCTGGATGGGATCCTGGGACAGAAGAAACTTGAAAATGAAGAAAATCTTCAGTGCAGACTCCTGGTTAACACCAGTGATTGTGCCAAAGTTTCCATACTACTGCTGGGTGTTTGCAGCAGGAGGAATTCAGTGTGGGCACAGGGGACTCTCTGTACTATCTTTGCAACTTTTTGTAAAACTATTCTAAAACAAAAACAAAAACAAACAAACCAGTGTAATGGCAGAGGAAAGAAAGGTGGCTTTTGATTTCCTTGTTGCTGGATACACACAAATCACCATGTTCCCAATGTCTTATCAAAAAGCAGGTTTGGGGAGATGGGTTCTGAGGGAGGAGATGAGGTGAGGTCAAGGTCATTGGTTTCGGGGCTGAGGAGGCTGGGCACTGGCTCTGGCCATGAAGCAGCACTGCCTCCAGCTGCCAAGGGGACCTGGGAGGTCTCTGAGAGCTCTCAGCATGGGAACCAGCCACACTGAACCCAAAATTATGGAGTCACGGTGATGATAGAATCTCAGACAGGCCTGTGGGAGAGATTTTATGCAGCAAAGGGCTTTTCTAGCATTCCTGAAGATCATGCTGTAAACACTCTACAATAGTTTTCTGTGCTTCCATTCTGCACATGGAGATGGAGACACTAGTATTGCCCACCTGATGGAAACTGCTGAGAGGATCCATCAGATGGCACAGATGGCCATCTCCCTTTGTATAAGCACGGCTTATCATGTTCATACAACAGTGATGAAATAGTCCAGCAACACGTTTCTCAGAGCTGTAAGACTGTACTTGGCATAATCTATGCACATTGTCCTATATGTTTTCAATCATCCCTTATAACATCCTATGCAATGTAAATGCTGTGTAAATGGTTATTACACCATATTGTTTAGGGAATCATCTATACACATTCAGTATGGTTGGCAATTTTTCTCCATACATTTCCCACCCATAGTTGGTTGAATCTATAGAGGGGGAACCCAGAGGGTCAGGGTGGATGATTATATTGTATTTCTGTTTTTGCTTGCTTGCTCCTTCCTTAGTGGTGGGTATGCTTTGGCCCAGCTAGAACCGGACTCAGCTCTCAGCTGGGTCTCAGTTATCAGCTGTGGACCTTAAGTAGGTGATTTCACTTCCAGTGGTACTGGCCTTGGTGCCCAGGCCTGGGCCTCATCTCCACTGACTCCAGTCCTAAGGCAAGCAGTCCAGGTTACAGGCTGTTTCCAGTTAGAGTCCTAGGGCAAAGAGGAGGGGCTGGAAAATGAATCCTCACAATATGCAGCTTCAGTCCAGCAGTGTCAGGAGTCAGTGAATAACACATGGGTGTACAGATGCCCGGGGCTCCCCAGCAGGAGTCAGCTCCAGTTGCCCCAGGCCTAACTTGTGTGACAAGTGCACTCACAGCCATCTTCCCTGCTTGTCTCTTAAATCCTTGGCTTAGAGTCTGTCTTGGAGGAAGCCAAACCAAGGCACTCTTCTTAGCCCTGGATTCACTGATTGTAAATGGGTCAATAGCAGAACCTTCCTCAAAGGATTATTGAAAGATAGTGATTGAAAAGTACAGAGCCTGGTATCCAAAAGCATCCCACAGAACCACAATGGTCATTTTCAGTTGGCTTATTCTAAATGTATTATGTACATACGTACATACATATGTGTGTATGTTTATCATTTATTCATCCATCCATCATCCATTGCCCATCATCCATCTACCATTTTTCCATCATCCATTGTCCATCTATCTATCCATCATCCATTATCCATTCATCCATCCATCCATCCATCCATCCATCCATCCATCCATCCATGGTCCAATGTCTATCCATCCATTGTCCAACCATCCATAATCCATTGTTGTGATGGTGGATACATTGTGTCAACTTGAGAAGTTTAGAAGTTAAGTGACTTAGTAGGGACCAGGGTCCTCAATTTGTAAACATTCTGAGCTTGTGAAAGAGGCGGGCATGGAGGTGGTATGAGTGGTACACTCCCCTGGCAATGGTTTGGCCTGATTACAATATAACAGAGGAAAAGAGGATTGCTCTCCCTCTTTTTGCTCTTGCAGCATTTCTGCTGCCTTGAACTGTAGACCCTGTGCCATGCCACCCTGCCTTGGAGCCAGATGATTGTGGACTGAAACCTCCATAACCACGAGCTAAATAAACCTTTCCTTCTTCCATTTTGGGTGTCACACATTTTGTCTTAGCAATGAGAGAAAAGTAATCAAGGCAATTGCCATCATCCATTATCCAACATCTTCTCATCCATCATCCATCCATCCATTATTCATCACCCATCCATCTATTGTCCATCACCCACCATTCAAACATTCAGTCTTCATCTATTTCTCTTCTTGTGTTCTAGGAACAGCACCCCTGAGAAAGAATATTAATGTCTTCATTTCAAAATGACAAAAGTAAGGCTCAGAAAACTTAACCTGCTAGCCCAACTCACACAGCCTGACTCCAAAACATCTTCTGACCATCACACTTATATCTCTTACTTCATCTATAAAATAAGGGAGTCTGAAACCATTCTCATCCTGACACCCTCTGGTTCTCAGCCTCCTGGCTGAGCTCTCAGGGTCAGAGAGGCCAGTATGGCTTCCAGACCCCAGTAGTCCTGCCTTTCCAGTCTCGATATCTAGCCAGGCCCACCTGCCACCCACTCTGTACTCCCCAAAGCAGAAGGCAGTCTTCCCAGAGTCCACCACTGAGCTCTGAGAAACCCTGCAGCTGAAAGCAGATTGAGATGAGAAAAGAGAGCAAACAGGCAGCTGTGTGATGGCAGATGCCTCCCCACAGAGCTTCTGAGCTCCCTGCTGCTGCTGACTCACCCCGGCCACCTCCCGATGTAGGATCCTGGTCACCTCTGCCTGGTCCAGCCCGAGCTGAAGCCACACGGGGCACGTCTTGATCAGCTTCTCCAGGATACTGATACCCCGATGAGGAAGGTAGTTCTTGGAGGTGGCTGCCAGACGCAGCCCCATGCTATCCTCCTCCTCCTCTTCCTCTCCCTCTCCTTTGCCAACATCTGGAACAGGACTGAGAAAAAAAAAATCAAAAGATCAGCCTGTCCTGTAGCTGGCCCAGAGAGTGTTACAAGTGGGTGTTAAGTTCAGCTGTGCTTACTGACTTAGCAGCCATGTACTTGGAGGAGGGGCTTCGGGGAATCATACAATGGATAGGCCAAGGGTCTACACCTTAAGGCTCTTACAATAAAGCAGGTGACACCAGGCATAGTGTTAAAAGCCTATAATCTTAACACTTTGGTAGGCTGAGACAAGAGGATCACAAGTTTGAGCCCAGTCTGGGCAATTTAGCAAGATCCTATCTCAAAATAAAAATACTTTTTAAAAGAGTTAGAAATGTAGGTCAGAGAAGAATTGTAGCCAACAAAGAAAGAGGCTGGGGCCTTCTCTATACGCCTGTATGGAAGAAACATACAAAACAATATGAGAAGAGGAAGCAGCAACAAAAAGTCCCCAGCCTCCAGCCCTGAGAACATTGATCCAGGAAAGGTAAATACAAAAGAGATTGAGGACAGCAAACATGAAATATCAGACTCGGTACCAGTGGACATAAAGAGATATCTTTGGGACTTTATAGATGAGTTCAAAAGTGAAACATTTAACCAAGTAAAGCAAGATATAAATAGATTTAAAAAAGAAATGCTAAGCACCTCTCAAGAAAAAACAGATGGAAGAATGGAGGAACACAAAAAAAGGAGAAAATTGTTTGATGAAGAATATAAAGAAAACATAGAATACATGAAGCAGGTTCAAAGAGATTACCAGAAATTAAAAATTCCATTGAAAGCTGGCAAACCTACTTGAAAGAAACTAAGGATAGATTATCCAAACTGGAGGACAGGTTTGCAATGTGGGATTATGAAAGGAAAAACTTCTTAAAAATAACAAGGAAACAAGCAGTAACAATACAAAGGCTAGAAGATGACAAGAAGATCTATAACTTGAGAATAAGGAATGTGAATGAAGAAGCAGGGGTACAAACAAAGGAACTACAAAGGCTACTCACAGAAATAATTAAGGAAAACTTCCCAAACAAAGGAAAAGGAAATGATATTCTGATGTATGAGGCATACAGAACTCCAGCCACCTACAACCAAAACAGAGCCATACCCAGGCATATAATAATCAAGATCCCAAAAATTCAATATATAAGAACAGAATATTAAAAGCTGTTAGAGACAAGAAACAGATCATCTATAAAGGAAGGCCCATAAGAATTCTCGACACACCATCAAGTCAAGAAGAACATGGAGTGAAATATTCCAAACCCTGAAAGAAAATTAGCTCCAGCCCAGATTGATATATCCTGAAAAATTGTCTCTAGAAATTAATGGAGAAACAAGATGCCTCCAAGACAAAGAGGAACTGGGGAAATTTGCAACCACCAATCCAACTCTACAGAGAACACTGCAGGGCATTCTAGAGAGACAGAAAAGTACCAGGATTCCAGGAACAGTGGAAGAGAGGCCTCAATGAATGGAGCAGAAATCAGAACGAAGAAAACAAGCAGACAACTAATGGCAGAAAAAGAGCACAACAGAAATAAGGCAGATAAGGTTGGTTATCATCTCTAATATAGATGGCCTTGATACACTTAATTAAGAAAAAAGAGAATCACAAGTAGAGTAGATCAGGAGGTACAGTCCACCGAGATGCTCTTTATAGGAAATATAATTAACCTGAAAAAGGGTATTTGGACTGAAAGTCAAATATGAGAAAACAATTCTCTATGTGACAGGGAACCAGCGAGTAATAGGGGCAACTGGACCAGTATTTGTGGATAGGTTGGAAAGACAGGCTTTAATGGGTAAGGGAATACAACTAGAGGTCAAGTCCAGGAGGGAGAAGGTTCAGAACCACTTAGGTAAATAGCAGGTTTCCCCCCCGCAATTTAAAACCAAGGTTGTTGATAAGACCCAAAATTGCACAGTGCACCCTGGGGAAGTCTTAATAGTCTTAAAAAAGATGGCAGAAGATATGTTAATAGTGTATTAGGAATTAAAACCCATATTACTCACACCACTCTGCTTAGATTGATTTTATTCTGTCCCACTTTGTCTACTTGCATTAGACTTGAGGGCACAGACAGCTGTCCCAAAAACATCAGGATATAGCACAGTAATCAACTTTAATTTCCTATTAACTTAATCTGGAGCCCTGTTTGACTTACACTGTTTTATCATGACTGATCTTAGTTAAATCCAGTTTGTTTGATTGCTGTTTGGTATCAACAGACTTTATCCAAGACTGTTACGATTGATAGTATCAGGTCTGAGAGTATAGGCAACTACACTGAACATGACAAGACTCTACGATACACATTCTGGTTTGATAACTGCCTGTTTTTGATGTTATTTACAAAGTTGTGTTTTTATTAATATTGGTATGTTCTGATATATTCAATGATACTATGTCTGATGATATAGCCAATTCTATTGGAGATAACAAGAGACAACACTGTAACCATGGTAGAACTCCTTGTACAGTGGTTTTATATGTCTTTTTCATTTCATATGTTTATAGTAATATGGTTTTTTTGTCTTGCTTTGTTTGTTTCTCCCTCTAATATAGAAAAGATAGAAATACATGTTAAGACTCATGCATGCGTATAACCTATAAACAGTTTATGAGAACTAATCTCATGACACATGATGAAATGAACAAATACTTTGAAGAAAAAGAGACACTACAGTACCCAGTGCTGATCCTGGAGTGTCATGATGTGAAACCCAGCAATAGTATTATTCTTTGTTCAGAGTGATTTTAGCCTGCTTTGGTTTGTTTAATCTCAACATAAATGAAGATATGGATAACTGCATGTATGTTTAAGTGTATAGGATTGATAACCATATTTCTAAGTTTTTGTTGGATAGTTGAACAGAACTGTTTGCAGTCTCACTGTTTGAATTCCCACTTTATATGTTCCACTTTTGTATCTAAAATAACTATTTGTAAGAGGACAGTATGTAAACATTAACTAGTGATTTCTTACTGTTTATTTTCTTCTTTGAAAGTATGTATTAATTTTACCCGTTTTCTGTTTTGTTTAGTCTCTCTTTAAATAAAATTTTAAAAAAATTTTAAAAACCTATGTATCAGAAGATTAAAAAAAAAAGGAAGAAATGTAGGTCAGTGCAAAGGTCCTTGGTTCAACCCTCAGTCCTATAATCTATCCATCTATCCATCAATCAATAGATTAAATAAAAAACTTAAAAAATAAAGTCAGTGAGATATCACACAAGCAGCAGGCCATAGACAAAGAGGGGGTTAATAACAGGAGCTCTGTGTAACACCAAAAGCTACTCTCAATTCAAGCAGGCTCAGAAAAGGACTACTGGCATTTGAATAGAGCCATGAAGAGGGTTTAAAATATTTTTTAATTGGAGTTGGGTGTGGTGGCACACTCCTGTAATCCCAGAACTTGGGAGGCTGAGGCAGGAGGATTGTTGCAAATTCGAGACCAGCCTGGCCTACAAAGTGAACCCAAGACCAGCATGAACTGCATAGTGAGACCCTGTCTCCAAAGACAAAAAAAAGTTAATTAAAGAGTAACTTATGGGCATCAAAATGGACAAACATCTCTTGTACAGCAAGTCCTGTTTCTACACATCTACACACATGTAACTACTATCCAGATTAAGCGTGTGCTGACCACTGCCATGGTCACTCACAGTGGTCACCTAGCTTTAAGCACAGCTGATCCAAAAAGAGATGTGCAATAAAATATAGGATTTTGAAGATTTAGTATGAAGAAAAGAATATTAAAGAGCTCATCAATAGTTTTTTTTTTACATTGATTACATGTTGAACTAATATTTTAGGTATGTTGGGTTAAGTAAAACACTATCGAAATTTGTTTCTTTTTACTGTAGGGCTACTTTAACTACTGTGGGACTTATACCCAAGGTTCCTGTTCAACAGCACTGACGTAGAACATTCTTTCTAGAAGGTTCCTTTAAGTCCCCTCCCAGTCAACACTCCCCACACCAGGATGATGATTTGTTAACACGTCAGAGCGAGCTAGCAGGAAGATCACAGACTCAAGAAATAGTGAAACTGAGGGCCCTGGGACCCGGCCTCCTGTCCATCACTCTGCCTGGGTTAGAGACTGAGAAGTGAGACTCCAACATCCTCATGTCCTCTGCCGCACCACACTCAGGCCGGTTTTGATTCCAGGAAAGGAGCAGCCACCTCAGTTCCTGGGCCCCAGGAGGCGAGTGGGCCAAGAGTTCTGGTGCTGGTCTGCCTGAGAACTAGGTCGCTCGTAGTGGTGTCTGTGGGGCTAGAAACTAATGGAACAAAGCCAGTCATGCACGGGCCAGGAAGCGGCACAGTGCCTCTCAGCTGGTCCTGTGCTTCTGTACGTTGCTGGGGTAGCAGTGAGCAGGGCTAGGACTCCTTCCAGAAGTGTGCAGGCCCTTGCTGTGAGAAGCCACTTGGAAGAGGGCCGGGAGGGATGGGTGGGAAGTTCTAGCTTCACTGGGTTTACAGGGAGTGGGAGGGAAGGTGTGGCAGGAGGGGGGACATTTGATCATCAGGTGAAGCTGCCCAAAGGCTGATAAAATTCCCACCTCTGCTCCCCTCCCAGGGGAGCTGCCTCTGGCTCCACAGCCTGCAGGCCATGCAAAAGGAAATGTCCCTGGGGAAACAAGCATGGGGCAGGAAATGGCAGCAATCAGCAGTTCATGGCTGTGCACGGGGCAAGCAGTCTCATTTGGAGCTCCAGGCCAGTGGCCCAGAGGATACTGAGTACTTCCAAGTCTTGCCATCTCCTCTCCCAAGGAAGGACACAACTGTCCAGCAAAGAAGCACCCTGGGGCCCACAGGTTCCTCCAGCTCCACTTGAAAACACATTTGTCATCTGGCACCAAAACACCTGTTAAAACCATCCTGGAAGATCTGCACTGGACTCGGGGCTTCCCCTGGAGGGCCTGGCAGGACTCTGCTTTGCAGCATTTCCTCTGCTGCTACCCCTGGGATAGGATTTGCCTAAGTTCTTCCCACTTGGGGCCT